CCTCCCCACGGTTCTCTCACCCACCTCGGGCGGCTCCAGCCTCAGCTCACAGAGGAGCCTCTTGCTCTGGTTGCGGCGGAACGCGAGCTGGTACAGGGACTCGGCCATGCGGTCGCCGTCGAGCAGCTCGCCGAGGCTGAGGCTCTTGTGGCGGACGCGGTCGGGCCGGCAGACGGGCAGGCGGTAGTAGTGGTAGGTTTCCTGCGGGTTGTGGTACGGGCCCACCTTGTTCACGTACACAGTCACCGCCTCCCCGACCTGGTAGCGGCCCCCGCCACCGCCGCCTCCCTCCGCCCAGCCCAGCAGCAGCAGTAACAAGAGGGCGGCCTGCAGCCCGGGAACCGCTAACCCCCTCCTCCTTCTCCTCCGTCTCCGGGCCCCCGACCACCGCCATCCCCCGGGGCCCAGAAACAGCGAGCCCCGACCCGCCGCCGCAGCCGCCGCCATCTTGAAACCTAGCAACAACACCCACCACCCGGAAACGGAAATGCGTGGCACCGGATGTTGTGTGTGGTGGTGGAGGGTTCCGGCTCGCGATGTGGATAGGGGCCGCGCTCTCACCGGAAGTTGGGATGGGTGGCGGGGGTCGAGGCTGCGCCCTCACCGGATGTTTAGGTTAGGGGTGGGGCCGCGCCCTCACCGGAAGTTGGATGGAGACGGCGCCGGTGGGCGAGAGGGAAAACGGTCAAGACGTCCACCGCCGGAGGGACGATGGGAGCTGCGGTTTGACGGCGGAGGGATAGGGGGAAACAGACGTCGCTCCCCCAACATACAGTTACAGAGGGAAGGGGCGAGTTTAACCAAGTCACCCCACACTGCCCCGCCCCTCTATCCCGCCCCTCCCCGTCTGCTCCGCCCACTGCCCGCCCCCTTCACCCTCTGCCCTCCCCATTTCCACGCCCCTTCTCACCCAGCACCGTCCCGCCCCTCCCCGTCTTCTCCGCCCACTGCCCGCCCCTTCACCCTCTGCTCTGCCCCGCCCCCCATCTCCCTCGCCCCCTTCTCTCCCAGCCCAGCCCCTCCCCATCTTCCCCTCCCCTCCCTTTATGCTC